TTCCTTTCTACCAGCCAGCAGCACTAATTGCTCATATGGGAATGGGACCATCCTACCTTCTGTTGCTTAATTATATTTATTGAGTCCTTGATTGCACTGAATATGAAATGAATGTCTCAGAGATGCATAGTTCAGCTGAAACAAACAATTTACTATTGCGTTTAACTTCTCAACTAATGAAAAGAAACGTAGAGTTTAGTTGTAACGTTCAAGCTTTGGTCAAGTTACTCCAGTATTATGGCTCCTTTCTACCAGCCAGCAGCTCTAATTACCCATATGGGAATGAGACCATCCTTTGGCAGTTGCAGAGCTAGGAAATTCTTGATCAAGCCACTAATATAGTATAAAAATATTTGACAAATTCTGAAATCTTTGGTCAACACGTGTTTTATATTTTATCATGATTTCGTAAATAATATTTTTCTAAGAGATTATAATATAAGTATCATCAATTTTAAAACTCCTACACTCATCTTTAGGATCTAAAGTACAATAATGAGTAAATAAATTCATTGTATTTTCATCATACGTGCTCTTCAATTCTTCTAATTGGGAACCTATTGTAGTATTGGAAATATCTTCTTAATAATGGTGATCAATAGTATGTTTTACTTGTTCGTTTTGCTTGTGTCCTTCCTCGAGTTTTATTAATCTGCTTGCGTCCATCATTTTCTAATCTTGGTCGGCTTTTGATTAGTTTGTACTTAACGGTAAAAAAAAAGTATGCCAATTAGCTTGGGTAGTATGCCTATGTCAAGTTGAAAGTAATTATTATTTTTAGTTCAACCATAAAAAAGACAAAATTAAGAAACTTATTAAAGAAGTTAGGATACTTATTCATTAACATTTTTTTGTTGTGAGAAATAGAATTTCAATATCATATGAAAACCATAAGGGTTATAGGACCAATTCAATTGAGTTAATATATTAGAAGTATTACACTTATAAAATGCATAAAAATACAAAACAAATAAACTAATGCCTATATAAATATCGCAACCAAACCCTATCCCCAACCATGTTTTTAACAACTAAAGCAAGCACAACAACTAATCTTAGTCCAACCGATATTTTATCAAGTTGCTATCCTTCTTTGACAAGAGCAAATCACAAAAAACCAAGGTAAAAACTCTTAAAAAAAAAAAAGGGAAAAAAACCTCTACAAGAGAGTGAAAAACCCTCATAAGGGAGGAGAAAACTCCCGCCTTTAACCATTCAGTCTAATCATGGAGGGGGAGAATAAAGTAGCAATGACTAGTGAGAAAAGGAAAACAAAAGAAAGAGGAGAAAATCAAGGCGAGAAAAGAGAGAGGGCACTTATTCATTAACAGTAATAATTATTTTTCTTTTAGATTAAGGGAAAAAAATGAATAAATGTATATTCTTTAAGGAATGTAGTAATAACTATTTCTTAATCATCCAATAATTTAGTAGAAAATTATTAATTTTTAGAAATATATATTTCTAATTTCTTAAATAAATTTCTTAATTCTATTTTGTTTTATAGTTTGATTAAATAATAACTATTTTGTTTATCTATTTACACAAAGAGTGCTCTTCGACTAATTTTTGTGTATTTCTAGACTAATTACTCTCTATCTGAACTTAAAAGAAAATCTTTGCATCGACTTAGTGTATTTAAAAAAATTAATTTTCTGAAGTGTTTACCTCAATATTTGAATTTTAAACCTACCTTATAAAACAGCATTTATTTATCAATGTATCTTGTCCTTAAAATTAAAGAATAGCTATTACTTTCACCAAACATAACTTTGGCATCTAGAGAGTGAAAACTTATGTAATCCTCTTATTGTTTTCTGAGGGCAGTAGGGTGGGTTTGGATGTAATTGATGTTCTGGGTTTATGTCCATAGCTGTTCATCATGATCTATGGGACCTGATTGATCCAAAGGAGGCTTCCGATCTATTTTAGATGGAAGGAGGGTCGTCGGCTTTGTTCACTGGCTACGGGTTCATGGCCTTTGATGAAGCTAATCAGATGGGTCGGGACTAAGAGAATTAGTTTGTGGGCTCGAATGGATTGAGGTTTTTAGGCCGAACCTAAGGTAAACAGAATGGATTGATTTGAGGATGAGTACATTGGATTAAATGGATCTTCTCTTTCTCAATTCAATTTGAGGAATTGGACTTAAGATTGGTATTTTGGGCTTCAGTTAATATGTTTTCGTTCATGAGTACTTTTTGTCCAAAAAAAAAAAAAAAAAAAAAAAAAGGAAGGGAAGGAAAGAACGATGTTGACGCCAAATAATTGCATTACTTATCTCTCATGATTTATATATTTAATAAATAAATACTAATGTCTAAATATAATATGATCAGCACTTGCGAGCCTTAGCAGTGATGGAAGTGCACATTTTTTCTTAATTTCTTTGTTAAGGATTCAAGCTGTCAGTATAGTAATATTGTAACTATTTCTCATTCCTCAATTTTCTACTGGTAAAAAATATATATATATATATATAATATGATCAAAGTATGTGTTTCATCACATGGAAGATCATGAAAAGAGCTAGAAAACTTACACTTTATTTATCTAAGTGACCCAATAATAATTTTCTTTCAATAAGATTACCATATTTTGTTCAAATAGTAGGTATTTTGTTCAAATTATTTTATTGTATAACTTGTTTGATTTAAGGAGAAAGAGGGGAGAAAAGGTAATTTTATTCTAATTAGTTTTTTATACTATTCATCTAATATCTTAATTGAAACTATTCTTTAATATCTTAATTGAAGGGCTTTTGGAGTTCTTTTGAAAGCTCTTTTGAGAGTTCTTTTGGATCTTTTTAGGATATTTAGGGATCAAAATAGAAAAGATAATAAGGATATCATCAAGATCACGGATTCTTACTCTTTTTTTTATTATTATTTGGGTTTTGTTTTTCTTTTTCAAATTTTTTGTTAATTATTTAATATTTTTATGTTCATAATTATAATTTTATATTTTTTGTATGTATTAATTTAACAAACTAAGGCTACAATTCTAATTAATTTGATATCAATTTTTATTATTTTTATATTTTAAGATTAGTATTTTATGATGAATAAACATTATTGTTTTTAATGTTTTTTAATGCTTGATCATTGTTAAAATTAATATAAAGAGCATAACTGAGACCTAAAAGAGATTTTATGTAATAATTTTTAATAATATATATCATAAATTGAATGAATAGATCAACATGATTTATGCAATAATAGTGATAAATGATCTTGAAAGTTTTCCATGAGGTAAAGAATTTAACATAATATAATTTATTTTTGTTTATTTAAATTAACATAAAAATATAGAGAATTAATAGATAAAAACAGGTTTAATATAATTTTAAAAATTATGTCAAATAAAATAAAAACTCCTATTATTACATAAGTAGCAAACATCTTGAAAGCATAATAATCTAAAATATATGTTGATTACTTAAGATAAATTCATATGCCTCAATATTTCATATTTTGATTTTATAGTAAATTTTTTTATCTTAAGTTATA